TCCGCAATCGCAGGAGGGTCGGTGTAATGCACTACCAAAACGCCCGTAACTAAGAAACAAATGCTAATTCGATGATGCCGGCTGGCACACTGATTCACTATGAATGTAGGCCGCACCCCCTAGCGGCAGAAGCTCGTACTACATCCGGTTCACCCTCTATTGACACAGTCTTGAAACTTTCCGATCGCACCTCGTATAGTGGGACAGCATTACTTTATTTAGGGTCGATCCATAACTCATGTACCGTATTTAGATTATTTAAAAATGTGTATTACCTGAATAACGGCTCTCCCACAAGCATCAAACTACGCCAGTAAGTTAATAACCGCTAGTAAGTAACAAATGTTTTCGGATGAGGAAAGTGGCATGAGGCATTATGGCTATTTAAAATTAATTCTGCAACAAAAACAATTGACGGTACTTTAGCTATGATGAGGTCTACATAACACAGAAAAATGATTATATCATTGGGTAGAAATAGGAGACATCATTAAACGACATGTTCTCACACAATTGCGTGTTTGTCATTAATTGACTTGTCTTTGAGGATTATCGCACTTGTCTTAATTAATTACTTTAGGGACATACTACTGTCTATATTTTGTTACTGATAATTATGCCATACGTCGAAAATAGAATGGAAAGGAAATAGTGATAAAGATGTAAATGACTTATGGTAACAGAAGAACAAAGAATATATAGGTCAATACATTACATGCAACGCCTGGAGGTGTAGGCCTATACAAGGTGATTAAAAATTGCCTTTCATAAATTTGAGTATATTTTTATGACCATAAACAAGTAATAAACATGGATACAAATTGGTCGTAGCGAAGGGTAGGGGGTTACTCAACTATGCGAAGAATCTAAAACAAAAACAATAGTCGTTGTACATAATATGAGTCTGCAAAATGAATCACTGTTATCTGCTACAAGTAATAACTTCTACAGAATCACAACATGTTTTTGAATTTTATATCATTGTAACGTCTACATTTTATACTTGAAACCTTTGAAATTTTAAGAACATGGGGTATTGCACAAAGTAAAAGATGAAGAAAACGTAATATATTTGATATGGAAAAAAGCAAATACACATACAAACGTTCAACACCACGGCTGGTGTTTAAAGTGACGCAGTGTGTCCGGCGTTTGGGGAACATTTCAACTTCTTCGGATCATGCGTATTTCCTTCCTTGTAGTTGATAAACCTCTCAGCACCATAAATAGTAACAAACCGTGCCTGATTAGAACACTAAAACACCAAGAGGTACCATACCGAGCAAGAAATTTCCAGCCGTGATTATTTCAACATAAGCTACACATAAAACTGACGTTCCAGTGGATACCTGCCATTGGTTGGGCAATCTCGAATGTGATGTTTAACTTCAATCAGGATTTAACCAGAGCTACCATTAAAATTGTGATATAAATTACCCTGGTGATTATAATGATAATAATAATGACATAACGTAGTTTACCAGTAAGATTCAGTAGTAGGAATTCTGTTTCTTCAAAATTTAGATCTTTCCTGGTCTGCGGTCATAGTACATGTCTAATATTTTCCCAGGATACCCCTAAAGGTGAAAATGAAGTATACAGATTGTCTTACAAAATAGCCAAATTTTGAGCTGTTATTCATTGCCTTATTTTGATTGAAGAATGTAGAAACAGCATGGGTAGAAATCTCAACCGTTGCGTAGTTATGATTGATAAAAATAGAGGAAACTCAATGAAACGCGCAGATTGAACAAAATTATTTTAATTGGAGAGAATAATCTTGTACAAAGGAATAGTCCCTACTCACGTTTGAGAAGACTTTATTAATATCAAGAACTGTTTATACTAGTGATGGTGTCCACTGCAGAAACTTTTCCATATATTGTACGGGATCATACACGCATTAAATTGGCCCTAACAAACTGAAACATATGTTATTCATTGTAACATAATGTACGTACTTAGACAGGTGACTGTTCGACCAATCGAACGATTTCTATAACACCGATACTTGTACTGTGTGACTTGTAGGCCAGAATGAATGGAGCGCCTACGCGTTGCAGCTTGTGGAGGATCGTCTTAAAAAGGTTGTAGCTCTTCCTGTGGGAAGTGCAGGTTGTCATTAGCTCTTCAAAGTCCTTCAAGAACGAATGGTCCAAATAATTGGTTATCAATTTGATGTCACCACACGTGTAAGTGCACTAAAGCAATAATTCGAGAAGCAATGATAATGAAATCGATTTGTGAGAAAACTACGTAACTTGAGATTTATATATTCATGCTGAAAAAAATTTTAATTTAAAATGAGCCTTCCGTAGTAGGTAGGCGTTTTGTGGGACACACTGTATGAGACTGGAAATGATCTTATCGTCTCACGCAATTCATATGGATTCAGAAGAATTGCGTGCCTCGTTCTGTCTTTTCGTATCACAAATACATGACATACCCGGTCTTGAGATGTCTGATGTATGTTATCTGCAAAGTGTATTAATTAACAGCCGCAGAGTCCCCGAAGGAGGTCATCAATGGTAAGTCAGTGTCATCAGAACACATTATACAGCACAACATACATTTTCGCAACATACATTTTCATCTTATGTAGGCCATCATAAAAGTAGTGCGTCTTATGAACGTAAAGATTATCCACTTTTCTAAATAAACTCGTTATTATGTTATTTCACAGTATTAAATCCAAAAGTGGAAGTTTAGATATTTTGATGAGTGGCATAGTATGTCAACAGTTACGTTTGACGATACTTGGTCTCAGGGAAATTACAAGATCGGGAATAATTAATTGGTCATGTTAATTTGGATTTGATTTTTGTCCCCACAAATAATGGGCAAGTGTCTAATTTTTATACAGTTGTAGTTCATTAATATTTTTTTCACCTACGGTTATATGATAAAGTTATTTTTGGATCGAACTGTTTCACAAGTAGGGGTACCGGGGAAAGGGAAGGGCCTCGGGGCACAACAGGATACCGGATTTATTTCGTCTTCAATGGGTTGCGAGCTATCGGGACCTGGTGAAATACCATTAGCATAGAGCACAGGGACATGTGATGTCAGTCAGCACCATTTTGTGGTTACACTTTCTGAAATAATCACCCATGCTGGATTTTGCTTCTACATTTTACAAATGTTTCTCAACTTTCAGTGAAGGTAAGACCTATTCATTATTCATATCCACTTTCTTGAATGATGCATGTTACAAGGTGTTTTCTTGATAGTCTTAAATACAAATTTTTTATTAATCTTCATGACGTCATTTTTGGTGGGACAATCCTAATTTGAAAGAGAATACTCGGGGCAGGAAGGGGTAGGGCAGAATGGGGTACCCAGTTTTGCCCCGAGTGAAAGTAGAGAAGAGGATCAAGATGTCGAGGGCCAGTATTTTGGCGATGTCTATTTGCAGTCTATTGAAGGGAGGATCCGGTTTTCGCCTTGCTTGAAATGGGCCCATAACTCATGTGCATGTGTTGGTAGTCACGATGATGAAGATTTGCACATGTGTGTCGTCTGTGTTAGGCAGAAGTAGATTTCAAATGTGTAAAGTTTCGAAATTTTACATTGTATACTTTATCATTTTTATATCCTACGTCATAATTACTACATAATCTGCGTTTTCACACAACTTTTTCAAACATATATCAACCATACCCCGTCTTGCCCTGGGCACGGTGCAAAATGATGCAAGTTACATTTTTGTAAAGAAATTAATATTTAAAAAACTGTAAATCTTACAACTAAACTAATAACTCATTTTAAATTTCAAATAGACAATAAATCCACACAATATTCCACCATGTGTTTGTCTTTGTTTTTGTCCCTTCCACATGCCTCCAAAAATTAAGTTCCCCGTTCTGCCCAGGGCTCCCCTACTCATAAAACATTACAGGATTCACGTAGATATTTGTATTTTTCACTCTCGTTGTGACCAATTGATGTCGCTGTGGCTTTTTTGGTTTGTCATCAGTCTTTCGACTGGTTTCATGTGGTCCTCCATTTTCGCCTATCTTGTGCCAATCTCTTCATTTCCACATGTTTTTTGCAGCCCACATCCTCAGAAATCTGCGTCACATATTCCAATCTTTGTCTCCCCCTACAATTCTTCCCTTCAACTGTTCCTTCCATTACCAAATTAACCAATCCCGGGTGCCTCAGAATGTGTCCCAACATCCTATCTCTTCTTCTCGTAAGATTTTTCCAGAGACTTCTTCCTTCCCCTATCCTGTCTAAGACCAGTTCATTTCGTACTTTATCAGTCCACTTAATTTTCAAAATCCTTCTATAGCACCACATTTTAAATGCTTCTATCCTTCTTCTTTTTGGTTTTCCCCCTGACCATGTTTTCCTTCCGTATAGCGCTGTGCTCCAAACATATAACATCAGAAAAATCTTTCTTAATTCCAGGTCAATGTTTGACACTAGTAGACTTCTCTTTTAGAAGATGACTTTTTTTGCTTGTGTTAATCTGTTTTTAATGTCTTCCTTGCTTCGTCCATCTTTTGTGATTTTGCTTCCTAAATGACATAATACCTTCACTTATTTTACTGTGTCTTTCCCAATTTTGATATTTAATGGATCATTATTCTCATTTCTGCTGCTCCTCATACATAACATAACATGCATCCAGGAGTCATCATTTTAGGAAACAGACGACAGATAAGGCTGCACAAGTCAAAGAATTATGCCATTTTGATTAGAAAATGATTATACATAAGACTGCCCACACACAGTAAAGGCTTTGAAGAATGTAATTCTTTCGGGAAACTATTCATTTACCCCTGGTGTTTGCCATGGTACCAATAGCCCAATTCTCTCAAAACTTAAACTCATTTGGGTTTGCAATCGGAAAATAAACATGCCGTCTCCAGCTTTAGGACTGCATCTCTGAAGATGAAGGCAACGATTCCTGTACGTTGCTTGTTCTATGTATTAAAAAGAATTCGTGCTTCCACGTCCAAATAAAAATAATATTATATCAGTTTACTGATTGACCAGTTCACTTATTCTTTAGGCCTATTTGCAATTGTGATTATTTTTCGTTCTTCCATGTTTGCGCAATAATTATCACTTTCTTGGTAACAACAAATTTTAAAACAAGCATGCACCAATTGCAACATAATTTATGTACAGGTTTGAATGAGGGTAAATAAACAGATAAGTTATATTCTCAAAATATATGTTGATCAGATAATATAAAACAACAAATATATGATTTGAGGTTTTCACAGCGGTGAGTATGAAGATTTCTGTCTTCTGGGTTGTTGCGCCTCGCCGTGTAGTATGGTAGACATTCATCGCCCTGATGACGAAGGCAGTATGACCTCCGAAACGTTGGTAAACATCTACCAGATACACGGCGCAACAACCCAGAAGACAGAAATCTCCATAAAACAAGAAAGTTTAAAAAGGAAAATTCTTACAGCAATCTGTGCGGGATGAACAGAAACAACTAAACGTGTGCTATAGAACATTACGGGTCCGCAGTGGCCGCGCGGTCTGAGGCGTTGGCTTTGTGTCGCTTGGTCGCTGGGACCGTGGGTTCGAATCCCACTCAAACGTTTTTCTGTGTTGTGCTGTCCTGTGTACAGCGACGGGCCGATCCATCGTCCAAGGAATCCTACCAAATGTCTATAGATCGAGCCAACGAAAAGTTTGTACCCCCAGTGCTCAGGCACTTGAAGAACGGGTCGTTTCCAGTATCCCAGTATAGAACATGAAGTCATCAAGTTATTGTGTAATCATATGTACTGTAAAAGTAAAAGTTAAGTTTGTCCCACTATACGCCATGTAGGCGTTTGGGGTGAGTGGAGG